TTTCTGTTGTCTGCTTGCAGTAAGTAAGACATAAATTTGTTATTTATCTAATTGGCCCTCCAGTCTGTGCACCACGCCACACAGCGATCCACACACGTAAAACAACCCCATCACATAAAATTTTTACTAAAAGAAAAAAACGAAGCTAAACAGAATGAAAAAAAGAGTGATGAGTTTTTCAGCGCAGGCTGTCTGATCGATTCATGCGAATTAGGGTTTGGTTTTGGGTGAAGTGGAGCTGTATTTTAGAGTGGGCTCAAAAGAAATGCATTTTTCTATATCTTATCTGATCGCCTTTTGTTGTGTGAGGTTTTTTTTTGCAAGTGGCATAAGATCAGGGTCAAACTCATTTTCTCACTCTTAGCCGCTTGCATTGTTCAGTCTGTGTTTACAGCTGCGGGATGAAACGAAGACTGCTTCCTAACGTGCCTCCGCTGCACGCATTGGCGGGTCCAAGGGGGGAGGGGGGGAGGGGAGGAGAGGGTTCCACAGGATCTCAGGTAGTAGCTGTTTTACTGTATAAAACTTTGTTCGATACCGCCTGTCGCCCTCCCCTCTTCTCCGGTCATTGCCACAGCTTAGGGTGAACTAGAGGGAGGGAGACAAAAAAATCGCCCCCTTTCCCTCCCAGGAAACGGCCCTGAATCCCCCTACGGTTGCACATGAAATTTAAGTTGGTTCTTTATTGCTGGACCGCATATAATGAGCTCAGTGCTGTTTGTATTACTGGGATATTAGTCTTTATTCGTTCTTATCTCTTACCGAATAGAACGGGAGATTTGGCTAAGTCGTCACTGTGCCGGACTAACCGGACTGGATAAGCTTTGAAAAGCTCATCTTTTTTTGTCTTTAACTCCGTTTTTAAACGATTTTCACGGTTCATTTGGATATGCGGTGGAATTTCAGGCCCCACCACGGCCGGCTTGGGAAAATGGTCCGCTTTTGGGAGTGGACAACGGCATTAACGGTGGCGGTGGACAAACAAGTACAAGCAAACTTGGCGTTCAAAATGGTGATTTCCATGTATATTCTTATGATTCTGTAGCTGTGTGGGCTAAAATTTTCGTACTTTGATCTCAATTTTTTGCTCTTTAGGTGAGCCGAAATTTATGGATGGAGCAGTGACAGGCGTGGTTTATGTCAGTGATTTGACGACAAGGGGATTTTTGCAAAATAAAGTTTGTTTTACTTTCTTCCTTTAGCGTTTTTATATTATTATTTTGGGTTTTTGTTTTTGTACGCACATATGTTTTAGATTCGAGAAATGTGTGGTTGTAAAAGGAATGGATTTCCCGGCAGTCAACCGGTATCTATGGAACGATCGCCTGAAAGAGATAATCTGTGTTTCCTGGAGAAAAATGAATATATGGTTTCTTGGAAAGCTGATGGAGTTAGGTGAGTAATTTTGATGCATGAGTCCTAAGAATGAGTGATATAGTTAAACTTTTTTATGTTTGAAAAATGTGATTATTTTGTAACGGGGGAGAAGGGGAGCGGAGGGGGGGGGGGGCATAGCATTTTTGTTATGCGGAAGTTCGGGACATCGGCTGTACCGGTGAGACAAATAGTCTTCACGATTCGCGGGGAGGAACCAACGACAACCTTGCCAGCAGATGATTGCTGTTTGTATTTGTTGCTACCGCTAAAGTTACTTCCCGAATGCCTTCGCTTCTTATAGGGAGCGAATAAGCGGGAGAGTGGGGGGGGGGGGGGGGGGGGGGAGGGGGGA